ACGGAAAATTTTCATTTTTCGTGCAAAATTTAGAAAAATAGACCAACTAAAAGCGTTTTCAAAATTCTCATTTTTCTTGAAAATTTTTTTCCGGAAAACGATCCATTTTTCCGCAACTAAACGCACCCTTAATGTCTGTCTATTTGCAGAAAGTCAGTATGAAAAACTCACTTTTAGATTAATGAAGAATCTAGATTAAAGACTATTTACCCTTGCTAAAAAAAAAAAAAAAAAAAAAAAAAAAAAAAAAAAAAAAAAAGGAGATAAACATAGTGCAAACAACCCAACCCACAATAATGCAAGCATTACATAATCAGAAGAGATTACTACAGTACAGAGCCAAAAATATAACCGACTAACAATCAAGATAAGAATATTCACTATACAGGAACACCAAGATCGTGAGAAACACAGTAACAATTTTATACCCACTTTTATGAGCTTATCATAAAAGAAGTTAATGCCCTCATCATCAAAAATAGCCTAGCAAGCTTGTGTGTGCCCTTTCAATCCAGTTTAGGAAACAATAATACACATCTAAATTCAAAATAATATATATACATGCACATAAACCCAACAAACTTTAACAGGAATCTAGTTGCTTAAGCTACATACATCAAGTCTGGTAATGTAACTCTCCTAAATCATCTAATCATTGAATTTCTTCAAATACTTACATAACTTAATTTAATTTCTACAAACTATCCACTACTTGTATGCTATACAAAAACTACACCCAATAAATTTCACCCTTGTGTGGTAGGTGTTAGTAGTTAGTTATGATGACAGTTCACTGTTCAATTAAATTACAACACATGGCAATTAAAAGATTCCAACTTTAAATTCAATGGGTAAAAGAAGGTTTTAATTAATCCATCATGATCTCAAACTCACCCCATCACACTCTTGTTGAAGACTCCGCTTTTCAAGTAATTTCTTCAAAGCATACGAACATCTACCAATCAATTAATAAAAAATTTCCATTAGATTGATTATTTACCTTTTCTTATTTTCATTTGAAATTAAAAATAAATAAATAAAAAGTGTTGTTATGATTTAGATGGATGATTTACCTCCATGGGAGGTGATCAATGAACATAGAAGGCGATACAATCAAATCCATGAAAGCTTCCTTTTTAACCACATAAGCTTCAAACCCACACTGTGTGGTTAGTGTACTCTTCCATCTTCTATAAAGAGGGACATTGTTATTTTTCTTGTCGGGGATTATATGAATGATGACACCTGGCAAAAACATTTCTCTAAAGTTTTCATGTGTCTCCTCTTTTTCATGTGATGATGGCATGGCTTCCATGTACTGTGATACAAGATGATCACGTGATGTCTCCTCATCATGTGGAGGCTCATAATACGGATTAGAGTTTCTATTTGATGAAAAACGTCTGCGATTGACATTATTATCATCATCCGATGTATCATTTATGTCTATATTATGCCAATGATTGGAATCTTCATTTTGTTCCCGAAAGCTCACTACAGTGATTTTCAAAAGCTTAGTGTCAACATGCAAACAGTTATTTTGCAGGATATAATAAATTATTTTTATTATTTTGATTTTAATATACATAATGGGGGTATTTTAGTAATTAAGTACCACGTATAGCGTGACCCTCGTCTTCATTTCTTGGTGGCAATGAGCTCGACCCTGAAGAAGAACAAGGCTCTTCATGAGGCTTGTGCCATAGATAAGTGCTCACTGAAAGAAACCTTCTTGCAAGTTTCTGCATTTTTGCTGAGTCAGCATCCCTGTCATTCGATAGTGCCAGCATGGCAGCTCTTTGCAACCTCATGATCGAAGCAAGCGAAAGGCGCGATGAAAATTCATTATCGTACACAATACTGCAGAAAATAAGTAGACATTTTAAAAAATAATTGGGAGAAAAATGGATGACAAAATAAATAAAAAATAAAAAAATTACCTTGTGACAAAACCTGAACATGCATTTGCTAAGACTGAATCTACACATGGAAGTGGGCCATAACTATAAACTTGTAACTGAGGATATCGACCATATAACTGTTGATAAGAAGGAAAATTATAAACAAACAAGTCCGGGGACTAAATTGTAATTTTTCTCAAAATGAAAGGTTTTAAATATACCTTTAATCCTAGCATTGAAGCGATAGCTCCACCAAGGGAATGTCCCACAATGCGAAGGTTGTAGCCTTCACACTCACATCCCTCTCCCAGCAATGAAGTAAGCAATCCGCCAGCTTGGAATTCTGATTTTCAATAAATTCTAGAAGAAATCAGTTTAAATTGTCATTAGGATAAACATTATAAACACTATGATAATGTTTCCACCCTAGTTATATATTGTTTGGGCAAATTACACAAAATGCCATTACATTATAAAAACCTGTTACCAAGTTTGATTTGTTTACATGGAAAATTGTTAATGTGTGTTATAGTATCAAAATATGGTAAAAGGAGATAATGTAATGTAATGGATTTTGTGTGATTTGCTGAAATAGTATGATTAAAAAAGAGAAAGAAAGATTAAATTCATACCTTTTTTTTCAGGATTTCCATCAATTTGCTGATAGAGATCACGTGCAGACTCGACTATACCGGAGTGTCCATAATATCCTGAACCTGGTGGAATAAGATTACCACTGTGACAAGGTCATGAAAATGTCATAATAAGATGCCATTCAAAAATAAATGTTTAAAAAAGAATATTATAAAACTTGTCCCAAAATAAATGCAAGATTATTTTTTTCCATTTTGAGTGTGAGAGAGAGAGAGAGAGAGAGAACAGAACGTACTATATCAAACCATCTATATCTTCTGTAGCAAGCACACATTCCTTACTTAAACCATCTGTTAGTAAATCTTCAGGAGTTTCAGTTCCTCTCACACAAATCACAACAGATTTTATGTCATGAAGAACCACAACAAAGTATGCTGCTTCACATCTCGCCTGAAAACCCAACAATATCCAACTTCAAAGTTCAAAACAAATAAATAACTAGTGGGATGACCTTTATTAATCTTATATTTTCGATAAATTTTTTTCTAATGTTCTCGTACACAGGGACCATTTTTGTAAATTTGCTATTAGACAGTGACCATTTTTATCATTTTTTGAAACGTTGGGACAATTTCTGTAATTTGTGAAAAGTAGGGAACGTTTATGCAAGTGAAACCACATGGACCATTTCTGTAATTGTATGAAACATAGGAACTATTTTTGTTAATTTGCTATTTGCCAGGAATCATTTCTGTAATTTTTTAAAACACAAGGACCGTTTTTATAAAAAAAAAAAAATTCTGCACAAAGACCGTTTTTGTAATTTTTTCTATATAGGGACCATTTCTGTAATTGTATGAAACATAGGAACCATTTCTGTTAACTTGTTATTTGGCTGGGATCATTTCTGTAATTTTTTAAAACACAAGGACCGTTTTTATAAAAAAAATAATTCTGCCCAAAGACCGTTTTTGTAATTTTTTCTATATAGGGACCATTTCTGTAACTGTATGAAACATAGGAACCATTTCTGTTAACTTGTTATTTGGCTGGGATCATTTCTGTAAATTTTTAAAACACAAGGACCATTTTTATAAAGAAAAGAAATTCTGTACAGGGATCTTTTTGTAATGTTTTCTATATAGAGACCATTTCTGTAATTTTCTGTTAAACTAGGGAACATGTATGTACAGAAAAAAATCTTGGCAGGGACTGTTTGGGTAAATATCCCAACAAATGTAAGGATATATAGAATTATTTTTTATAAAAAGGGTCCTTGTGTTTTAAAAAACTACAGAAATGATCCCTCGCAAATAGCAAATTAACAGAAATGGTTCCTATGTTTCATACAATTACAGAAATGGTCCATGTGTTTCACTTACATAAAAGTTCCCTACTTTTCACAAAATTACAGAAATAGTCCATGCCTAAAAGCAAAATTACAGAAATTGTCCTTATGTTTCACAAAATTATAGAAATGGTAACTGTCTAATAACAATTTTTGTAATTTATAGGGACCATTTATGTAGAGAAAAGTTCTTGGCAGGGACTGTTTGGGTAAATATCCCAACAAATGTAAGGATATATAGAATAAAGACATGTGAAAAGTGAAAACTAGTCATGAAGTAACAACAGATTAAAAATTACAAAAATAACCTGATAGACACGTCCTTGTCGAAGTGTATCAGGGGGCAAATTGACATATTTTAAAAAAGCTTTTGCATGACCTCTCCACCAATTGTCCCCTTTGAGTTCAGGAAGCTTATTTCTAACCCAAGGTGTCCAAATCCCTTGCCTATGCAACCATGCACAAAGGAACAATACAGGATTTCTTCCAACATCTAGTAAAAGACCCTGAAATATTAATTAATTAATTAAAATTAAGAAACTGTTATAAACATATGAAAAGACAAAAGTTATGAAACTGACTGTATAGGCAGCTTCTGCATAAGGATGAAAATCAGCAGCTCCTTGAATCAATTCTTGAGAAGCCACCGTGACTTCCTCTTGAAAATTAGGCATTCGGCTTTCCCTTTGCAACAAAGCTAGGCCTGTATACAGTAATTAATTAATCAAGTCACAGAAAGTAATAGAGTCGATCACAAAAATGAAGAGAAAAAAAAAAAAAAAGACCTTATCACAAAATTAACATAATATTTCTTTTCAAATGTAAACAAATTAGGTTCATTTTAAAGAAAAGAAAAACCTGCCAAGAGTTCTAGATGTCCTTTCCCAGATGCACGATAAGCAACAAGGTCACCCAGTAACTGTGCCACTGAGAAAACTTCATCTTCCTCCATTGCAGTTCTACAATTTGAGGTAAGCAAAATCAATAATACACATAAGAATTTAAAGGGTTGTTTCTTTTTGACTTGATGAGCTTAATGTCTTAAGCACTTAATCTACACAGCTATACATGGCTGTATTAAGACACTAACCCTTTACCTATTTCCCCTTCTTTTTTTTCCTCGCATCATCTCTATTGTGAAATGTATGTTTTTGGAATGTAAGGGTAAAATGGTCATTTAGACTCATTCAGATGGTTGAAAAGAAACAGACGTTATGTATACAACACTTAATGGGGAAAGAAAAAGATTCGGAAGCATACAAGTATTTTATACGTCCCATACAGCACAATGCCTCACGGATGCCATGATCAAATATCTCATGGTAATGGTGTTTCCATGCTTTGTTTTCATTTGTGTAGAAAGATCTCCATCTTAAAACATCAGATCCTGAAAAACATTGTAACAGTGTGACAAAACACACCATGATGATGAATAGAACCAACATACTATGCAGCCAGATCTTGTTAGTTGAAAGAATCCCTGTAGAAAAAAAAAAAAAAAAAAAAGTTTTAGGGATAGTAAGACACTTGTAATAGTGGAAAGAACAAAATAAGAGAAATGAGACTCAAGTTTACCTAATACACATGCATTTGGAGTTCGATCTTCAAAAACATTTCTTGAAACACTGAATACAAGATAACTTGCACTCATAAACTGGAACATTGTAATTACAAATGCAAATCGGGTCCACCGTATCCACTTCCTGTATCTAATCTGTTAAGTAATAACAGAAATTTTAAATTAGGTGACATCTGTACAATTGTGATATGTCAATTCCAATGGAACATTTGCATACAAAGATATTCCATTTGTATGATTGGGTATAGGTAGATAGGATACCAAATTTTGTTAATGCATAAATTCAACAATTAGTTGCTAATAATTAGGAAAAACAAGGTCCAACAATGCCAATACTCACACTGTTCAAGATTAAATCCTAGATGATGTATTGTAATAACAATGTGGATGATGGAGAAAGGACATGTATCTTGATCAAACATGTTTATGATATGGAAATGGAAATTAAATGATAAAGGTATGACAAGTCAAACCTGATGTGACAAGTGGTTATGTTAAGACTACTTGTCTATGAAAAGAACTAAGACTCTAAATGGGTGTGACGAGCTTTATGAGCCAAGTATGTGTTATGATATGACAGTATGAGATATGTCTTCGATTGTAATGCAACATGTCCAATATGGTACTATGCTATGTATCTACTGATATGTTATGAGATATCTAAAGGTTCCATCATTTCTATGATTGATAAGTAATGTGTAAAGCATGCTAACAATATGTACAGGAAGCTCACGTAGGATAATATGTTAAAGTGTCATTGTAAAGGACCAGATGTGTTAAAGTATCCTAATTGGAATATATGTCAATGTTTTAAGACTAGGCCTAATATGATATGTATATGCTTAGGATTAAGGCCTAAAATGATATTGTCAATGGACTTGCATGTGTATGATATGTTGATGTGATATGGAATAGATTTCCTAGGACATTGGAAATCAAAGGCAGTGAGTTAAAGAAGCTAATAAAGCTCAAGAAAGATTAAAATCATCGGCTAAGGCGATTAACATGAGTCAAGAATTTGCCAAACCATATATAGCTCAAAACAGGAGTTTTGTGAAATGGTTCCTTTCCAAAATGATGGTGATATGTTTTCTACAGAATAGTATATATTTTACCATGTATTATGATGAAATGTTGTGGAGAGGTTAAGCAAGGAAAGGCACAAGGTTGTGTAAAGCAATCTGTAGTTCATGAAACCTTGAAGGATCTTATTTCTATAAAAGCAAGTGGTATGTGGGCAAATACTATGTGTAGAAGCATACTGATATCTCAAAAATGGAGATGGCTTGCTGTAGCCACAACTTATCACCTATCTATACTCTTTCTCAATTTTTTTATGTTGTGGACCAGTTCAGAGGTTAAGCAAGGAAAGGCACAATTTATCACCTATCTTTATCATCATGTATTATATGATCAAGTTGAAAACACCGAGTCCTTAAACAAAATTTATCAAGAGTTTGATCCACTAATTGGTAAGAAAAACAAATTTCTTACTGATGTTCATTTTCTGAACATTTTTCTTAACCAACCCCGTCATTGTATGATTACTAATATAAATAAGAAGAAAAAGAAGAAATCGATGTGAAATTTTACCCGCCGATGACGCCGAATTAGGGTTCCAACAGCTCGTTTTTCGGAAGGAGTATTAATAATCGTCATGGCCGTAGCTCTTTGGGAAATTGCGATCGGAATCATCGTGACTATTCTCAGAAACGAGACAAAAAGAATCACAATAAATGGAATAATATCTCCAAAGTCACAGTCCGGATAAGCCACGGTGATCAAAATGATGTTGATGATTATCAATAGAAGATTCGAAATCCCTAGAAACATAGCGCTCCATCTCACCTGCTTGATGTTAAACCCCTCGATCATTGTGATGCTAGTAGATTAATAGTCACATTGATACGATCAACAAGAAAGGGATTTAACATCGACGACCAAATTGGGGATTCTGGGAATCATTGAGTTATTGGGGAAGAGAGTGAAGATGTTCGTTGAATTCGGTTGTTTGATTCTTCAGAAAACGTGCGGGCCCTTGTTATTGACGCTCGTTGATCATGCGTGTAAGAGAAATTCAAAGAAAAAACGAATTACAAAATGAACTTAGGTCAAACAAATTTTATTAGCAAGATAAGATGTAAAGTTCTTTAATCGTAGGCCTTGTTTGTTTTCAAAATGTTGATAAATATATTTGAGAAATTAAATATCCTTCTACTATTTCTTCCTACAAATCCTCCTACCCAATTGAATAGTGACATGTGTATCATTTAATGTTGATTTAATGATATTTTAATATATTAATATGACACATGTCATCATTTAATTAGGTAGGAGGATTTGTAGGAACAAAAATAGGAGAATATTTAATTTCTCAATATATTTTATTAGAAATAATTATTTTATTATTATTTTCTTGAAATTATATTTTTTTAAATTAAACATTTATAAAGCATTGTAATTATTATCTATATTAATTTACATCTCGATTTACGACGTGTTCGGCAAAACTAGCTGGTAGCGGATAGCGGTAGCGGTTAACGGGTAGCGGGTAGCTGGTAGCATTTGATTTTGGAGCGTTTTGTTGAAAGCTACTTCATGTAGCTTTTGATTTTAGAGTGTTTTGTTTATCTAGGTCGCTACCACCGCCATTCTAAAAATGTCATAACTTCTGTATTGATCTCGTAGCCATCGGAAAAGACAGGAGTGGGTGGAGTAGGAGCTTATGTAGGCTTGTCTTAGATCAAATTTCTACTTTGAGGTATGCTTCTAGTATTTTTCTCCTTGCCCTTTTCTTCTTCTTAGTCAAAAACATCACCACCACCGTTATGGTGGTGGAAGCCACCTCCGGCCACCACTACTATGATGGAAATGGGTGGTGTTGTTTCCAACAATGGTAATGAGTTCATAATAGGCTTGGGTGCTGAGAAGATGAAACCTAAAAACCCTAAGTACATAACTTATCTAATAGCAACATACATTGGATTTTCACATTTGATAATGTACTTTGAGTAAGGGTTTGTGATTCTAATTGGCTTTTTGACTTGATGTAATATTGCTACTATTAGGAACTTAATTTCCAGCATTAATAGTCTATGGTTGATGACTTATTGGGTTAAGATGTCAAATTAACCCAATAAGTAAAAGTTAGGAATTTATGTAAAATACCTATTTTGATCCTGTTTTGTAAAAATCCTAGAAAAATCATCAGGAGTCGGATTTAGGGTCCGTCATTTCTCAAATTTCAGATCTTGAGTCTAGTATGCCCGAAGTTTTTTCCTTGACCTGATGTTGGCTAACTAGGGTGAAAATCATTATTTTCACAGACTAGTCCAAAATTAACTGAATTGATATGTAGTTTTGTAAAATCCATGGAAAATTATAGAAAACTTGTATGGACATGTACAAGTGGTTCCTAGAAATATAAGACATTGAACTACTAGAATATAGAAAAATATTGTAACTTTGGTAGGCTTTGGTGGTGGTGTTAAATTGGCCTTGAACAGGATGTTTTTTTAGGTTAAAATCTAGAAATTTAATCTATTAGATTACTTATATGTTTAGGGTGAATGGTAGCCATTTTTAATCTAAATTTATATTCTTAGGAGTTTGGAAAAGTGAATCAGTGTGATTGGGTTTTCGAGCTACAGTCACAGGTTTATCATGATACTCGATGTGAATTTCTCATTATAATGATTGATGTTGTGCATCTTTTACTTTAACTCATTTGTGCTAATAGGATGTATATGTGGGTAGCACTAGGTTAGGTTACTATCTAGTTAGGGATCGAACATAGCCCATGTGTCCCAAGGGTCGACACATTAAGCAAGGGGGTCGGCGCTGATGTGTCTAATAGGCCAGGTTTGGGGGATCGGGCTTAACCAATGTGTCCCAAAGGGTTGACGTACTGAGCAAGGGGGATTTAGGTATAACCAATGTGTCTCAACATGTGTATGTTTGTTTCCGATTTGTTCTTTTACATGTGTGTATGGTTGTGTGACTAATGTTGTTGATACATGTATGTTAGGGGTAGAGCTTGTAAGATATGATATTGTGTATGTGTGAAATTTATTAAGCTTTATGCATACCCCTTTTCCTTTAATAATATTGTTTCAGGATCAGCAAGTACTCAGGATGGCAGGGCATGACAATACACACGGGCTCGGGATGGATTGTTAGAGTTTTATGTTACATTGGATTATGTTTTTTTTTTGGAATTTAAAATTACCAAATGGTTTTTGAAATTACCTTGATCATTCGATTCTGGTTTGAATATACTTATATTGTTTTTTAAATTTGCAAAATTTATTGCAAATTTTGCAATGTTATGAATTGGTATCAGAGCACATCTTGAGATAATCAATCTCACTTCGGTGAGTTCTGAAATTAAGTTCGCGGCTTAAGAGTTATTTTTAAAAATAAAATTTTATAAAACTAAACGAAACGGTTTGGAAAAAGGTGATTGAAAGCACGTTGTATACAGTTACTCAGTGCTAAAGGAAAAAGGGAAAGTGTTCAAATCTTATTTATTGTTCTACGACATAAAATTGTTATATGTGCTAGAATGGCCGGTTAGTTGTACTGCTTAATTGCCAATTGCTTTGTGCTTTTAGGAATTCTTATTAATTGTAACGCTTGGTCCAGGTATTAGTCATTTCTCATTATGTTTTTAAGGATTTGGGATAGAACTCGACAAGTTGGGGAGCTCCAACTCGCCGTGTATGAATCTCTTTTGCCGCGGAATTTAATGGTCCAACTCGACGAGTTAGGGAGCCCCAACTCGATGAGTTGACGGCCCAAGATGAAATCTTAATTTAGGGTGATGCACCCTATATAAATGATTTAACCTCCCTTGGCTGGCCTTCCTACCAACCTTCATGTCCAGAGAAACCTTAGATTCGTTTTCCATCTGGCATCTTAAGTGTGGTGAGCTTAAAAGAGTGGTTTTTGGTGATTCTTGAAAGGAGCTTAAAGGTGGGAAGCATCTAGCTTGAAGGAGGGGCTTTAGATCCAGAAACTCTTCTTCAAAGGCAACATTTTTTAGGTATATAGTCGTCACTTTGTCATGTATTCATCTCGATCTTCTTATTTTGAAGTTTAAGCATGATTTTGGGGGGTTTATTTGAGTTGTCCAAAAGATGTGGGTTCCAGGGGTTGTCAAGCTAGATCTGACCCCTTTGTGACCTCTTGAAGCTTAAAGTTACAAACTTTATTGGTCCCTATGTCCCATTCATGCAATATGTCCATTATGAAGTCATAAATGAGCCTTAGAGGGTATTTCTAGCATGGATGGACGTAAAGTTTGAAACTTTACGTGTTTTGCCTAACTTTGGACATCAGATCTGTGTTTTCGAACATTGGAGTGAGAGTTTAAGGGCTTAATGGGTCAAGACCCTCTTAAAAGTGTTGGATTAGTGTCTAAGTCCATAACTATTTTGGTATGTACTTGACCCGATGGTGCATGGTCCTTTTTGGGTTGCCTTCACCAAAGCAACTTGATTGGAGAAATAAATAAAGAGAGAGAGAGAGAGGTTATTATGATTTATTAATATGTTATAAGAATAATATATTAAAGGAGAAATCATATTTGCTTAATTAATATTGGTCAATAATTAATTAGGAATTAATTTTGTGATCAAGTGTAATTAATTAAACTAGAGGGGCTGAATTGTAATTATGTGATAGTTACAAAATATGGTAATGGTTATCCTAAATATGGGTTGAACGAATTCAAGGAGATGAGGATCCTTGAAATCGTCCAAAGGATAAAGGATAAGGGTTTTCAAGGCTTATCTTATGGTTGCTTTGTGGATAAGCAACTAGATAAGGATAATGACTGAAACCCTATATCTACACCTATATAAAGACCCTAAGGCCTTAGAATTCGTGTACTTGTTCCCAAGGAGTCCTAAGGACGAATTCTAACCTCTCTCCTCTCTATTTATACCTTCTCCATTTGCTCTTGGTGTTTGTAAGCCATTAGAGGAGTGACACTTGTGACTCTAAGCATTCCAAAGTCATTACAAGGAGATTTGGGATTGTTATTGCTACATAACAATCAAGGTATGATCTTAAACCTAATTACATATTAATATGATTACTTGAATGCTAGAATTAGGGTTTATAGTCTTGGATTCAAAGCATGTACAATAGAGAAACCTAGATCCAAGCATTAGGGTTTGTATGAGCACATAGGATGTCTTATGACCAAAACCCATCAAAAAGGACCTAGGGTTTGAGTTTGAAGATTTATGGATGGTCCTTGAGAGTAAAGTTGGAAACTTTACCCTTCTAAACAACATTTTTAAAGGGGTCTGAGGTTTGGAGTCCTTGGATTCAAAGGAAACGGCTTAATGCATTAAGAAGTGGATTTTATGGTCAACTCAACAAGTTCATAAGTGAACTCGACGAATTGGTGGGACTTTTCGCGATCCGGCCAGTTAATAAGGGAACTCGACGAGTTGATAGCCAAACTCGACGAGTTGAGTCAACTCGGAATGTTGACCTTGACTTTGACTTTGACTAATGTTGACTCTTAGGGTTTGGAGTATTATGTTGAATCTAAAGAATTGTTTATATTTAGGGATTGAGTAGAATAGATACTCGGAGCTAGGGACTATTCAACTTCTATTAGTATTTGAGGTGAGTCTTCTTACCGCACTCATGGGTCGAAGGCACCAAAGTTGGCCCATAATTAATATGATATGTTTGTATTGAATAGGAAATGATATGTTGTTTGATTTATGCATGAGTTTATGTGAAGACCATGGGGGGAGCCCATGGCATACGAATATAAGACCATGGAGGTAGCTCATGACATTCCATTGAAGACCATGGAGGGAGTCCATGACAATTTGTATGTATACGTATGAGCATTACATTATGTGATTATATGTTTTGTTTGACTGGGAAACTCAATAAGCTTGTGCTTACAGTTTATTTGTATGTCTCAGGTACTTCTAGTGATAAGGGCAAGGGCCCGACTTGGTGACGTGGCATGCATTCTCCAGTGTTTTCACTTTTGGTCCTTTATACTTTGAATTTTCAAAATAACATGGATATGTAATGGGATTTTTATATTTACTATGGTTGATGTTATGAGAACAAAAGTTTAAATTTTTTATGAAAATTGGGCTGTTACATTAATATTGATTAACTATT